TGTATATAATTATATAAAACTTCAAAACGATATTTTAAATATTTTAGATTTTAATTATTGTAATATTTTAATATTTAATAACAATTTATTGTCATTAGACGGACAAGATTTAATATATACTTATTATATCACAATATGACGCAACTTTACCATCTTATCCCACTTAATAAAAGTGCTAATGGAAAGAAAGTGATAATTCTTACAGAAAAATAGTCCATAAAATTTAAAACAGTAATGGTAAAAGTTTAAGAGACTTCTGTACATACGATAACTTTTAAATAACAAATATTTTCTCTCGATAATACTCTTCCTTGAGTCAAATATTAACAGCACCGTTCTCTCAAAGACCCTCAAAAAATTAGTGTACAAAATAACTTCTTGCTTTGGCATTTCTAATAAAATTCAAGACCGGAAGTATACAACCGACAGACCGCAAAACATCGGATATCAAATACATCGCGCCGAGCTTCGCCGCTGTTTACCGGAGTCAATCGAGTTTAAATTTGTTGTGGTCCAGCTGATCTTTAACCTACGCCCCCTACGCTATTAATTGTGGCCACACACGCGGCCAGGTTCCTACCCGGAATTTCAAAACTTTCCCAGTCGTTTTCGAAAGTAATCGTAACGTGTCCTCTTTTCATTATAAATTCTCGAACTTTGAAGCAGGAAATTCGAGACGCTAGTTTAACGAACAAAAGTAACATTAGCAAGTTTCAGAAACATTCGGCACGTTCACCCGTGAATGCCTAAATCTGGCAACAGCAAGTCTTAAAATATATATCAGAGAAATGTTCCTATAAAACTCTTGTGTGCAGAACTGGGCTGGTTGCTGGTTTCTTCAGGTCTGGAAGAGGAAAACTTTCTGATATTTCATTGACATCTGACGAAGGATTGCACATAGGATATTACATTTGAGTTTATATGGATTATACACCTGAAGATGGTTCATTTAGAACCGAAACATGTAGTGTAAAAGATGATGCTCTAATATAAATCGAACATTTCGATAGAGAGCATCATTTTAATATATTTTAAATATTTAAATGTTAATTATAGTAATATTTTAATATTTAATAATAATATTTTATTGTGATTAGACTGATAAAATTGAACAAGTACATATTCAACACAATATGACGCAACATTATCATCTCAAGGATAAAATAGTCATTTAAGAGTCCGACGCCAATTTTTGTGCAGATATAAACTGAATCAATTCTTTTCTGTCACTCCCATTCAGTGTCGCGGTCATTTCCCCACCCTTCAAGGCATGACGCTAAACAAGCACCAGGAACAACTCTGTTTTCTTTACTATACCTGCCGTGAATCGAGTGATGAACATCCTGCTTCGTATTCTGAAAGTACGGGTTCAAATCTCGGCCCTTAGAACAGCTATTCTGGCTAACATCTTACGTGTCTTTCCTCAGTCGCTTCATGAAAATGCCGTGTCCACATTTTCTATGTGCTTTTTAATTTGTAACTGAACAATTATGGCGTCATTAAATGATACATAGTCTTGACGTCGTTAAATAAACCGGAAATAAAATATTATTCTATCGAGCGAGCATAAGAAGTGGGAGTCAGACTTTTAAATCTTTGCCGCTAGGTTTCGCCATCTGATGACCATTCTACACAACGGCGTGTGTGTTTGTCTGTAACAGTTACAAGATGGCGAAAGCATCAGCATCTATTTCTAATACAAATCGGTTCTCACAAGGATACATACAAGCGGAAATCCTCTTGTTCTCCCCAAAAATAATGATCAAAAACAATGAAGCATCACGCGTTCAGGTTTGTAAGGAGCTTCAGAGTCGAGAACTGGAGACCTCGGCTCAAGATTACTTTTATCTTGCGTTGCCTTCCGAAGCAGCATACTGAATAAATAAGAAGTCGTTTCAGATGTCCTTGATGCCTCCATCATCAGGGCGATGAGTGACTCATCGTGAAGACTCACCGCCCTGATGATGGAGGCAACAAGGACCTCTGAAACGTTGGTAAACTTCTACCAGACAACATGCTACCACAATCTAGAAGACTGCCATCTTCAAGTGGCCTTGCGACAGTCGCCATGCCGGTGATGTCATCTGACGTTCGAACGATATCGTAAATTATCAACGTATTTAAATATCATCCTCCAAGTACGCTTCGATAACGACAAATTAAGTTTACATATTCCACACTTAATGACCATTGACAGTACTTTCACGGTGTTTCTTACGGAATTCATATGTTTAAGCCTGCACGTGTTTAAACTGCGTCCGAAAATACACAGATTTTTTTACAGGAGACGAAACAAATACAAACCGCTTTCCACATTTCACTCGAATTACAAATGTTTGGTAAACGAGTTAACTGAGCAGTAAGGCATTTCTCCGGCACGAGGCGTGGAGGCAAACTTCAATTACTTAACCTCGACACAAGGCAACTTCGTGAAGCATTAACAGTCGACATTCAATCCAGATAAGTGATCAATCAGAAATTTCGGTCGGTTTATATGGCCGACGTATTCGTAAATTTCCAGTCTTTACAAGTACCAGACTAACTCAAAATTCACAACGGTCGCTTCCTTCCAAATCCTCAACTGCTTACGATAATCAGCATGTTACGTAGAAGGCTAGCCGATCAGTTAGTTAGGACTATACACTAAATAACAGGTTTGTTAGTCCGTTTTAAGGTTGTAGTTGCTTAGTCAAGCAGCCAGCTGTATTGCTGCCTTTAAGCAACTCTACCAAACTACATGATGTAACATACGTGACGACAACCATCTACATAAGCGTAGCAGTGAGAACCTGAGATCTCACCAAGTCGGCTAATTGCCCACATTCGGTTGGTTAGTCACCTAATGGACGCACAATACAATTGTTTGGGCTGGACAGAGTCGGTTAACTCAGAAAAGAGACTCCCGACAGCATCACTTGAGGACACAATGGGCCTGAGTTATGTCTTCATAAACATTCCGTGTCAGAAAGTCTGCGTTTCCTTTTACTTTCATTCGAGAGAAATGGCAGTGTTCAGCTCCACGGTCAGGAACAAAAGCATTTCAAATCTACTTTACTTTCACTGAGAACAAGACACTTCTGTGAGCTCAAAAACCACAGAAACATGAAAAGGTGTAATAAATGAGGCGAGATTTCAAGTTCTCACGGCGGGGAATATGAAGATGGCTGTCATCTGTGTTATTGTTCCATGTAGTCTGATAGAATTTTACCGACGTTTCAGAGTTGTTTGCCCTGACGACGTAAGCAGTGAGCACCTCTGAATGTCGGCGGATTCGACCAATTGCAGTGACTTTGAAATATTTCTCCTACAACCCCATAACCATGACTCTAGGACACTCATTCCTACTGTCCAATGAACGTGAAAGGAGACTATACGGGGATAAATACAGACAGAGCGTGCAGCAGACTACCAACAGTCACCTAGAAGAGAGATTTTCGGAATGTCTTTCAGTTGCCGATATGTTTTGTCATCCAACAAATAATTAACAGTCGGGCCATATGAGATCTCAGGTATGGTAAAAATTAAGCTTCTGGTCTAATATGAGGTTACCGACGTTTTTGTAGGAACGTATGGCTTTCATCTTAGGGGCAAAAAGTTTATAACTTCCTCCTAACCGACAGAAACCACCTACAAGACCACAAGTCCTCCACTATGAAGATAGGGGCGAAATGTTCCTCCGAAACACTAGTAACCGAGCACATGACGTCATAACTCAGAGGACCACATTCTGGTTCGACCATACACAAGTTTTACTATGAAGATAATTGTATCTACCGTAAAGTTTTCCCTGTGCCTACGGAAGGTAGCTCAGAAGTCGCTCGTTTTTCTCACAGGAAATCCTGATACCAATCAGACAGGAGGCTGAATGGGTCCTAGAACCAATCAGGACACAGCAGGGCCTATTTGTAAAGAGAAACTACCAGTGTTTCCACCGACAATCGAACCACGGCCTTCCAGGTCTAGAGTGAACACAAAATAATTACCACTTTATTAATTGACAAGCATCACCCAAAGAAATAACACGCAGTGTGAATCAGCGTCGACAAGGATATTGCAGGGCTATTATCCTTGATCTAGAGTCGATCCGAGGGCTGTGAAATGCGAGTCAGAAGACCTCGCTGTATAAGAGAAAAGTCGAGAAAGTGCCTGGAGCCGCTGGAACAAATTGCTGAAACCATGACGATTCTACGCGTTACTGCAGAACTGTTATGAATAAAGAGAGAGAGATGTTCAGAAGCTATCACTGGCGCTGTATGGCCAGTCGCTTTTATGCTGTTTTATGGAATCTTAAAACTTTTATCCAAGACATTCATTTCTCAGGTTACGTCTACTGTTTCGCGAGATGTGCACGAAAATATATACAGAATCCCAAGTAATATGAATCTTAAAATGAATTAAAGGGAATAAAATCTCATAAATATATGGTAACTCTCGTACCGTAAATCAAGTTTCGTCCAAATTTGTCACAAGACTAAAAAAAGGAAATTAACTGGAGAATGGGTAAATCACATATGACAGATTCACACTATCCACGACTCAACTAAAACTTTCGTGTGAATAATTAAGAAGAATGAAATAGGCAGAAAATTTATCTAGCGGTCAGAACCCTGGTCTTGTAATCCTGGGGTCTCGGGTTCGATTCCCGGCGGTGCCCGAATTTATAACTTGTGTTGGGCAAGGCCGTGGTCTAGGCAACACGGAGTTTTCCTCCGTGGCATCCCAACAAGTACTCCATTCACACACAGAAGAAGGCAATGGCAAACCACTTCTGGATCATCTGCTAAGAACGTATATGAACAGGTCCCAGTCCGAGAAAAGGATGGAAGGATCCTGTTCATATGGACCTGTCGTCAGACAGAACACTAAATAAATAAATAAAAATGAAAATATGTTAATACGCCCTTCTGACACGTGGATACGTCAGACAGAATTTCTTTTACAACGCAAACAGAGAAAGAAAGAAAGAAAGAAAGAACGAAAGGTCGTGTGTAGTGGGGGGTTGTATTGTTTCTCGCAGAGAATGAGAGTGTCAACGCAGAACAATGTTTCCGTGCGACACGGTCCTGAGGCCAAGCGGTGCGGACACTTGATAAAAGAACGCTCCACGCCACGTCACATGTCACACTGTACTGTGCGCGTCTACGACTGTTTTGCTAACAAGGTAAGGGAAGACACGGTGGGTTAGTGAGCAGTGTACAACATTTCTATTAAAAGAAACGTGTGATGAGTACTTAGGTCTTCTAATACACAGAACATTGCATACCAGAAATTTCAACATTCGATTAATGACAGTCATCATTCCGAAAAACGTAGGAATTTCAAAATTAAAAACGAATTATAAGGTTTCGGAAATAACCTAATAACATATAGGGCAATGAGTATAACTCTAGTCTAGAAAAAGAATTGACAAGCTATGAAACACCTTAAGAAGGAAATAAAATATAAATTTTTACGTACAACTTCGGTTTTCGGGGATAAACTGGGTTAATGAGAATTATCCAACGGTTAATCAAACACTGCAGTTGACAACTTCAAGAAAAATGTAGCAATCGAAACTGCAATGTTTACAGATGCGTCTGATAATTTTCATTAACCCAATTTATTCCCGAAAAAACCGAAGTTATACATCGAACGACAGCGTAGACCTAAGATGGCTGTCTTCTGGGTTAAAACCATCTTCGCGAGAACCTCAAAACCCAGTAAAATTGACCTAGTCTTTACTGGAGGGTTCGACTGCATTCGAAATTGTTTTCGATGCGTCTGAAACAGCTAACACAAATTTCCTGAAATAGATGGCGGCAGTGCGGGGATTCGGAACAGTTCTGCTGCTCTGTGTGGTCGTGGCTGAGGTCGCCATGCTGGCGACTGAGGTGTACGACGGGACGGCCACGAGGACTCGTGGACAGGGACGGGCACCCAACGGAAGACGGAGACAGCAGGTGAGTTTAAACACCCCACTCCACATTAAGGGTTAAGATCTCATAAATGTTCACGAGTTTAATCCTAAACGAATTCGATTCATTCTGTAGGTCTTAAAGGAGCAGAACAGAGCCGTGTCTTTCGTCCAGACAGCTCGAAGGAGACGGCCAGGTGTAGGACTCAAGCCTGAACTGAACGAGACGCTCGGACCCACAACTGTTGAGCGCGACGGGAGATGTGAGTAGCCAGGGGAACTGCTAGGGCTCAAAGGTCACGTATCTAGACCTTTGTCTGTGAGCAGATCTTCAGATCCAATCCACATCGTATACGCTTTTAACAAGAATATCTTGGATGACTTCTAAGACATTAATTCTATGCCCATCTGGACATTCAACACATAAAACAGTCTACATAAACTACTTATCTGTTAATTTTGTTTTTAAGAGACAAAATTATCGAAATTTATCAACAATTAAGTAGCTGATAACTAAAATTTAACAGTTATTGAAATGGTCAAATAGCTTAGTCACAGAATCCCAAGTTTGGATATGTTCAAATGACCTTGACCTTGAAGCTTTAAGGATATTTTTTTTTTTGTAAATTTAAAAAAAACTAAAATAATTGGAACCCTATCCACAGTCACCCTTTCCTTTGCCCATCTCTTCCTTGATCTTATCGCCCTAACAATACGATGAGGAGTAGATAACCTTTTCTCCACCAATAAAGATCTTTGATGGTTGAGAAATGACAGATATTTATTTCACTAAAAATTATAATTTCCAACCTCTAAGT